CTGATTTAGCCCAAACCAGGACAACCTGTTACAATAATATGGTGTTCTAGAGAATGACAGCTAAATTGTATGCTAATAATAGCAACAAATAATGGATATGATCCTTCTTTTTTTTTTTCTTTTTTCTTTTTTCTTTTTTTAAACTTGTGTAATTAATATCTTTCATTAACCAGCAGTGAAGACACAGAATCATCAGGGTCTTGGAGAGCCAAAGAGCTAGTGGGTACTCACAAAAATCTGCATAACCGGTCATCCTCAAGAGCAGGTAATAAGCTACCAAGTACTTCTTTCAAAGTAGGTAATATTGTTCATCACGTTATTTTGAATTATTTTGTTCTTTGCATTTTGTCAATCTTACAAACATGTTTAATTTTTTTTGACTTCTGAATGCAAGTTCATGTTCTCTTTTCAGTGGAAACTCAGATTGAATTATGCCCAAAAAGTGCAGTTGATGGTGAATCAAATGACTCCATATTTCTTCTCAGGTATGAAAACCTAAAGAACAATTAGAAAACCCTTGAAACCGTATATGGTTTTGGTTGCTGTGCGCACACACCACACCCCCCCCCCTTCAGACATTGTATTCTTTTGTTTGTAACAATTTGTTAATGTGTCTCCTTTCGAGTTTTCTATACCAGTTTAATTAATGTTAAGACATCTTTGAAGAACTGCAAAAGCAGTATATGTAGTTAAAGCAATGCTTTTATGGCTTTATTACACTGGTTTTTGGAAGCAAACTTTTGAATTCTTAGCTCTCTGTCTCAACAGGAGAATTTATTTAGAACTTTCATTCTTACTTCATGTATATGAGAATATGCTTTGAATATGCTTACTTTAAATACACAAGGGTAAGCAGTCAGCTTAAGATCCACTAATAAATTCGGCCTGCAGCTTTTCATCACAAGCTACTGGTAGCAATCTAGTAGTTAAATAGAAAATAGTGATTGGCTTAACAGTGATTTGTTTTAGTTGAGGCCTGATTCTGAAACTTTGTACTGGCTTTCAAGCCGAGAAGTTTATCTAGTAAAATAGATGCTGTTCTTATTGTCATCAAGCAGAAATGTTCCAGATTGAAATCAAATATTCTTTCGAGCTTCTTGTGTAACCTGAAATAGGGCTTTTGTACATAAGAGTGTGTCTACTTTTCCAGTTATTTCAGTTGGTTTTAATAAAGTATTGCTTCTCATCTCGCTTATGACTTCTTTAGTCACAGCTAAACCCGTACTATTAGTCATTTAAAACAGCATTTGCTCTTTGCTTTAGCAATCTGCTGAAAAGAAATGCTATAATGGCATTACAAACACTTAGTATAACAAGATGTAATCCAAATTATGTCAGGAATGAGAGCAGAAAAAAATTTATGAATTTTTAACAACATTTTCTTATAATAAGAATTAGGACATTTTAGATAGTTTTATCCAGTCAGTAGATAATATTTTGGTACTCCTTCATTGTGCCCTTTAAATATAAGTGTCTGTTGAAGATAGAGAAAAGGTGCCTTTTTAACAAAATAAGGATAAGAATGAGAACAACTATGGTAGTCATTTGATCATTAATTTTCATGAGTATCTCTAATTTTGTTTGGGGTTTGCAGTTTTAATGTAGTTGCTTTTTCTAATAAATAAGGCTGATACGCAACTAAATGTGTATATTACTTTCTGCTAATCAAGGAAACACATTAATTTGAAATTGTTAATTAAATTAGTTTCCTGGCCTGCCAATTTTAACCATTCTAAAGTTGATTTTAGACACTTCGAATTAATGTATACAACAAATACCAAGTTCACTAGCAGCTTTATGAAAATCGCAAATTTGCACTGTTCTAGTCTCTCCTTTCTTCATTTTCTAATTGGCAGACAGGATTTTTAAAAAGAAAAACTGAAAAGTAAACCCAGTTTTCATTCGTATATGAGAATTGGTCAATTTTTAATTCTCATTACGTAGCCAAGAGTTGGCAGTCAGAAGAGAATAACAGAAAATAAATTGCAATTTTTTGTCAAGTTAATTCTTTTTGTATGTTGTTGGTTATTAGGAGTTAAGATAATCATGTTTTAGCATTCAGTTTGGAGAGTGACTGTTGGTGAGAAAATAATCAAATTACATTAATTTAACAACAAGAAGAAACCAACCAGTCCTTCCGATTTCTAACCAACCAACAAATCCTAACCTTGTCAGGACGTATTTAAAGACAGGAAGTTCATGTTTAGTTGAACATGATCATGTCATAGCATCATCTATGTTTGTCAGCTTTGAAAGTTTGTTGTATGGCATGGAAGTTTCAAAAGAGCAACAAAAAAGTAGTTTGCAGTGAAACTTAATCTGTAGTCTTTATTTTGTTTTGTTTTCTTTTTTTCTTTCTTGTAAGTTCTCGTCCCACACCTAGAACTAGCACTGCAGTAGAAATAAGTGATGCTACTACTGCCTTAATCCAGAATTCTTCACAAAGAGATTCATGCTTGAAAAATGTGAGTAGAAAAACAGTATTAAGGGATGGTGGTATCTTTATAGTTAGAATTTTGGCCTCGAGTCTGTGGCAAAGTCAGCTTTCTTCTCCAGCCTTCTGTAATTATAACAGGAAAGCAGTTCCTACAGGGTGCAAGTTATTAAAAAAATAATATTTGCAGAACTTCAGATGTAAGAGTTAAGAAAGATGCTTAGGCCTCCTTTTTTTCCAGTGTATAAAAGGAATAACACTATTTTCTTTCTTCTCAGTCTACTTTTTGGATCTGGTGCTTTTTATTCCAACATGTTTCTTTATCATCATTTTTAGCTGGCCTTATCTGCTACTACGTAAATAAAAAGTAATTTAGAATATATTGTTTACAAGGCCAAACTGTGTGGTATAATGTTGAAATGAAATATTTTGTGAATAAACAAACTTCCATGTTTTGTGCGAAACAGTTTTTTAAAAAACTTTGTTGTTCTTCTAGGCTAAAAATATGTGCTCAAGTCAGCAGGATATGGAGTCAAGATTGAAAGAGCTCATTTACACTGAATCTGATCTTACAATTACATCAATCATTGACAATCCAAAGGTATAGCAAAATAAAATATAAGAATCAGACACTTTTGGGTGGGGCTATTTTTGCAGATATGTCTTTAATCAGGGTGAAACTCCTTTCCTGTATTTTATAATTCTAATTTTAAAGCAGTTCCACCCAGTCATCTGGCAAGCTTTCATGCAAATATTTGGCAGTCTTTTATAATCCTGTTGTGGTGCTAATCTGGAGAACTGAGTTATTTGGGGATTGAATACTGATATTAAATAATGTCTTACAAGAAACAGAAGCTACTAGATGCTGTGTTCAGTGCTTTTGTAGATTTGTTTTCTGATAACTTGCTTTGGTATCTATTACTTAAATGAACACAAACCTGTATTTTGATATACTCAAAACAAGGCCATCTATGAAGCCTTCTAGGTCAGGAGTTAGTCCTTTACAGAATGACTTTTGTTACTCTTTAAACTTTAGACATGATAATGTTTCTAACAAATATGAACTCATTTTCTCTGGAAAAGAAGACCTGAAGTTACGAGAAATGTCCATCCAATTTTTGTCATATAGATTCTAATGTGATAAGAGTTTGTGATGGGTCTCTGGAACAGAGACTGAGACGTGCCCTGACAGCAAAAGGAAGAGCAAAAAAGAATCAGAGCTCTGCACTGCAATGACAATGTAATGTGCCTGTATGGGCACACGTGTAGTATTTGTAGAAGGAATGATAGGCAAGAGCCCCTTTAGTCTTCCTTTTATTTCTGTGCAAAGCAATGAAGTAATTTTAGCAACTTCACTCAGTAAGTGGCAGATGCAGAGAATGCAACGTTTTTTATTGGAAGTGAACATCTAGCTCATTGAGAATGTCTTACAGCTTTTAGTTGCTTTAGTATGACATTTTTTTTGATTTGTTTTAATGGAATTCCTAACACTCTCAAAGATTAAAAATCTTATACCGCTAGATAAGGTAACTACCCAACAATACTGTTTTAATGTGTTTGGGGTGGAGGACGTTGTTGCCAGTGGAGAATTTAAAAGGTAACGATGCATTTGAATGCCACCTCTGTAAAGTCTCAGTTCTGCCTCAGGACTCCGACACAAAGCTTTAGTCCTTCACTGCTTCTATTCTTACTAGAAGCATAAGAGATGAGATTAGGGGTTACTGTACATGCTAATGTGCACATGGAGACTAATCTCCTTACCATGCAATGCCAGACTCAGAATTAGTGCAAAATAGCCCACTAAATTCCAAGGACATGTATTCAGAGTCGCCACATGCTTGGCGATCTTCAAACTAAAGGATGATTCTGACACCTGGTAAAGCTGAAGAGCTTGCAATTTAATCTCCTGGAAAGGGATTTACTAGATGCTGGCAGGATTTTAAAAGCTGAAATGTCAGCTTGTATTGTAAAATTTCCCTGTGTTCTGCAGATCTGTGTTACTGAAGACCTTTTCAGAAAATACCTCTCTAGTTACACCTAGGCTTCACCTGTCAAAGGCTAAATTCCAGTATACAGTTACGTTTTTTGTACGCTTTAGTTTCTGAAAATCACACTCAAATGCTCCATTGCTGAGCAGTTATCTAATTTCATGATATACCAGAAAATGATGTGTTGTGGGGAAAAAAAATGTACCTTACAAATGTTTAGTTGGTGATAATATGATTTTTTTATATTCTAGAATGATCTACTCTGTATGTACATATATATATATATATACATGCACATATTTACTGTACGGCAATGAATTGCTAAAACATGAACTCTCAGCTGCATAGTTCCTTTCTGTAGCTTTTGAAACCCAAATGAAAGTATTTTTCTGTATCCAAGCAAGATAAAATTGTAAACTGAAAAAAGTCCTATTATTTTATATTCCTATTTAAAAAAAAAAATCACTTAAATGGAAATTCTAACAATTTAATTATATTAAAAAGATACAGTTAAGTCTCAAATATCTACTTGGAAGAAATACATATCCGAAAACAATGGAAAATGCCTTGGTAATGAGCAATGGTTTGTACACCCATCCTGGACAGTTTTTGCATCTTCGTGTTCTTGTGTTCAGCTATATAAAAGATTTCCAGAATTGTATTAAAAAACCTAGTTGTAATGTTTTTGTTTATTTTTCCAGATAATGAAGCAAGTGACAGTTAGATTTGACTTGAGAACTTTACACATACCAACATATTCAGGTACGGATCTGATGAAGTTGTTAAAACTTAAGTTCTGTGTATGATGGTGTAACTCACTGTCACAAGACCTGTAGCCTCATCTTTGTAGATGATGAGCTGTCACAGTTGAAGAACTCATAACTTTTCTGAAACTGAAGTTGCGTATGTAGTGTTTTTAGCTAGACCAATTCTGAGTAGACTTTTCAAGTGCTGACAGTTATATGCCCTTACTTTCTCTTCTGCCTTCTTCAGTTACAAGCCTATGCTCAAAAGCTTGTAAAATGACAGTCAACTGTTTTAGTGTGGGAAAACCAGCATATTTTTTCCTGTATTATTTTTTTGTAAACAACTGAGATATTTTAACTGAAGTATTCAACCAAATATATTAAAATTTGACAAGGCAGAGAAGCAGATGGAAACAGGATCTTAGAATGAGCAGTGTTGATCAGCTGTAATACTAGGCAGCCTTGCCAGTCCCAACTTTACTCATGAAATGTTATGCTAATCATGTCCCAAAAGACAGTGTGAATTGTTTGGGATTTGTTTTTTTGCTGTTGTTTTTAAAGTCTGGAAAGGCTGCTGTTATTTCTAAAAACAAAAGGCCACTCATGGTCACAAATGTAACCTTTCTTCCCCTGGAAAATTTCCTCTAGTCTGTTTAAGGAAGTATTATTGCACTTTACTGTGCTTGAAGAGGGATGTCAGCCACATATGTAGTCCTTCTAGAATTCACATAGCACCTCCTCCTAGACATATGTATTTTGAGGAGTTAATTTGTTGAAAAAAATTTTATAGTTTGAAAGGAACGAAACATCCCCCAGTCTCCCAATCAAGATTGTAGTAACAGAAAATGTTTTTAATTTTGCTAACATCCTGGGCAAAAATGATCAGATTCAAGTGCCTAAGGGGTTGGTATTGAATTTCATATTGTGTTTAAGTAGCTGTATTATCACACTGATGTTCTGATATGTTTAACTATTTTTGTCTGTATTTATTTAATATGGGACAGTGTTTGTGGTAACACTTTCAAGGTTGTAGCTTTTTTCTGGACAACTTTCTGATTGTTTTTGAAGACACTGAATTTGGTGCTGCTTGTCACTAATGATTAAAGACAGTATGGAAAAATTAAGATAAATTCCTGAAATCCAAATCTCTTTTCACCTTTACCTGTGTAAGTTATGATTGCCTTCATTAGTGGGTGTTGTTACTTAAGCATAAAATTGGACTAAAAGGCAGAAGACGTGCTCTTAAATATTCTGTACTGGAGCATATCAGGGTGGTGGATAAGTTATTAATTAATAACTAGCCAAAACTGAGGGAGTGTGTGGTTGCTAGAGTGAAGTTACCTGCCGAGACTGATAAAGTCTTTGAAAAAATCTCTGTTCATATACGGTGGTCAGTGAATTGAACCACAGGATGTATGTTAGTCATCCTAGTGACTTGACTTTGTGTTCCTTCTGAAGTCATCTATGTCCTGATACTACTAAGGCTTAACTAGATGGATACCTACCTATATGAGTAATTATACACATTTTCAGTTTATTGATTCTGAGATTTTCCTGACTTTCATTAGGTTTTGCCTCAAATTTATTCTAATTAAACTACACCTTCTTATTAAGAATTAGTAATGATTACGAGCAGTAACTACTACCTTTCCTAAATACAATGCCAATAAATGTTTACTTAAATGAAGTCCAAGGACTTAGCAGGGTTGCACTTTCAAAATGTTTTGAGGCTTTTATTGCTACATTTTCATGCTTTGTTTCTCTTCGTGCTTCTTTTTTGATTTCTATAATCTTCAGACATGGATTACAACATGTTTGTTTAATATTTTAAATAATAACATTATAATTAGAATCAAACTTTGGAACTTATTTATTCATGTTGATGTTACTTTCTAGTGTGTTAAAGCAGCATCAAAGTTCTGTTTTCTTTAACTACTCATTTGCTTCTTATGGTTAGCTGAGAAGTTATCGTCTATGAAAGACATGGACTGGAATGACTTCTTGGAACGAGTATGTTCACTGCTTGATTCCACCAAGAAGAATACAGGAGCAGCATGTTCTAAGCGGAACTTACTGTACTATCTGTGTACTGTGGCTGTCCACAAGGAAATTGCAAGCAGGCTAATTAGCTCTCAGCTGGTAAATAATAAAGCTTTGAAGGAATCAATGTGGTTTACATACTTGCTATTGTAGCAAAAATCAGCTGCTTTTTAACTTTCTTTTCGAGAAATCATTGGTGTACTGACAAAAATAATATGGCAAATTAGGTACAAAATAATGAAAAAATTCCTAAATTCTATGTCAGGTTTTTTAAAAGAGCTGAGGGGAAAGAATTCTTTCTGTTGGATTTCAGGTACATTTTCATACAGATTTGTTGTATTAGTAAAATGGTTGGGGTAAAAACTGACCTTGATAGAGAGTGTGAAATAATATATGATGAAATATTAGTCTTCATAAATCAGTAAGTGACAGGGAAGACTGAAAAAAATTCATGTTTGAATTGTTAAATCAGTTTTATTTGGCCATATGTCTGTAAAGAATAGCAGGAAAAACTTTCTAAAGAACACAGTATAACTTTAATTAAGCACTGCTTCAAAGAGCGAGCACACTCTCTGAAGAGTCTGGTTTAGTGTATACCTGAATGGTGATTTCACCATTTAAGAACCATTTTCTACCAGACAAACAATTTTACCAGTGTCCTCTATAGTGGTTTAATACATTCTCAGAGTATTGCATGTGCAGTTGAGAAATAGACTTATTTTCCCCATTATGTAAAAGCATCACAGAGGCTATCCTGAGGTGTGCACTTTTCAGTTTTATTTGATAAAAAGTAAACTACCTTGTTCGCCTAATTTTCTTTTTTAACACATTAATATATGTTTAGCAATTTAGTTTAAGGCAAAATAGAGAAAGAAATTGTATTTTTTACTCTCAGCCCTTTTTTTTAATCAGCATTTGGACAATATCTACAGTATTTGCCTATGATAATACATTTTGCAGATGTTATCCAAATACATTTTTATGAAATTACTGATATTTCAAATGTTTTTTTGTTTAGCATTGGGACATGACAGATCACTGAAATTCACTAATGTTTGTTTATCTTCTATAAACTAGTTTCCTGTATTGATACAGCAGCTGCGTGCAGCCGCCAACTGGGATATGTACGTAACAATTATTTTACATTAATTTGTTCAAATATGGAATTATTACTGAATTTTATTAAAGATAGTCTTTAACAGGGTATTTGAGGAATGTCTTAGCCTGTCAGGCTGCTGTGGTACCTGACTGGCAGTATGATGGTGTATATAACATTGAATTTTTTTTGGCATTGAATTGATATATGCCTATTCTACAGGACCAAAGATTACAGAAAAACTCTAAAATTTTATCTAGAAGTTATATAATTTACTGTATGAAATAGCGTTATTTAAAATGACTGAATAAACAAACCCATACCATAATAGTAGCAAAATAACTATAAGGGTAGCTTATTTTAAAAATGCCTGGTCAGAAATATTTCAATGTGGTAGTGCCCTCTGCTGTTTGTTTCATAAATGTTGATTTTATTATTCCCATTTTTTCTTTAATGAAACATTTTTTTCTCTAATTTCTGTTTTGTCAGCTATACTGAAAAGTTTTAAAATCATCTGTAAGGTTTTTCTGTGTTAGAAGAAAACTGCACATGAGCCTAACTGATTAGTAAGACTATAACTAAAGAATCTTCATTCTTCAGTGCTAAAGGAATGTCTTTATACATTAATTTATTGCTAAATTGAGCTGAAATACTTAAATAATTTGATGATACAAAGAAAACAGAAATAAGATGAAAATCTGAGCTGTAAATAGCACTTGAAATATTTCCTGCCCTTAGCAAGCCGTCTAAAATATAAACAAGACATAATTGTTTATGTGATATTTTTGAAATAGTTTTTCTGCACCTAAAAAAATCTTATTTGATATGCAGACGTGCCGAAGTTGCTCGAGTGGTTGGATTACTGGCATTACACACATCTGAACTTGGAGAAAATGTACCTGTTTCTGAGGTAACTTTCCTTTTTCTTTGGGGAGGGGGGTAGGGGAGAGTGTTATTAATGCTTTTACTATTTCTCTATCTATGTCGGGAAACTTTCACAGCTTTGTGTGCGTGGTTTTTTTTTTTGAACCCTGCTTTTTTTTTTTCTCATATGTGTAAATGGGAATATAATTAATCCCATTAATTAAATATATTCATTTCTGAGTTTATTCTATGTAGTTGTGATTCTGATCTTTACTAACCTATGGTGGAACTATACACCAATGATAAGACTCTAGCCTTTTCCCTCTCCTTTTCAGAAAATTCAGTAGTCACTGCCATACTTCTTGTGCGGTGTGTGTGTGTAACAAGAAACAAATGTTGACATATATGGTTATCCTGAAATGCAATTACAGTAATTAGTATAAAAATATTAATTGATTCTTAGAAATCCTTTTTTCCAAAAAGTAATTGAGATGAGACTAATTTGAGATTCCTCACTGTCCTTGAAGAATGTGTGTAATGAAGGGCAAGTCATTTTCTTTGGAGAAGAAAAATATTTTAAATCCTTTTTTAATTTTGCATGCTTGGTAGTTGACTTAGAAGACTGATTAGACAAAGTGCAGTCCTTTTTTTACATGTGACACAATGCACACAGATTGCGTAAACTTGGCAGAATCTGTTATTCAATATCTGTTTTAAGGTGAATGTGACGTTATTTCTGCTTCATGAGGTGACGTCAGGGTTTGAATGTAATGAATTTTGGAGCGTGAGAAACAACTGCTAAACACACATAGTAAATACACCTCCATACTGTGCAGAACTGGTGCCTAAGAACATGTAGCTATTTGTTAACAGCTGACTTCTTTTGGCAATGCAGCTAAGGAATTTTTTGTGTTCTAGGTTTCTTCTTGTTGAATATTGAGAATGATTATTATGCTATTTTGTTTAACATTTCAATTCTGTAGCAAAAGCTGAACTCAAAGCATTATTGTTATTACCTAAGGTTTTTCATTTGTTTTATGAAGTTACAAAGTCCTTATGGTTACAGACATTGAAGTTTGGTCAAAGTCTTTCAATATTGACAGTTACATGTCAATTGAATTCCAGGTTGCAATTTAATTGCACTCTTGTATGTGGCAGATTTTTCTGATATTTAACTTTTAAAAGTTCCAGTGAAAATACTCAAAAGTAATTTTGAGATGTCCTAATAACTCTTGGCTTTGGGTGTTTGTTCAGGTGTTTAGCACTAATGTATTCAGCAATAGTTTTCCTAGCTTCCCAATTTCCATTGTAGGAAATACATATCCTAGTTTGCTTTGTGTATGTATGAGCAACAGATTGAAGTAGTTTTACATTGAGCTATGATATTACTTTGTTCAAAATGTTTCTGTTTTTTCTGGTTTGTGGTTTGGTTTTTTTTTTTTTTTTTCAATATGAACGTAAAAGTCATTCACAAAGGGAATTTAGCGTTTTTAGAAATATGCATATACTTCAAAAAACAAGTTAAGTCTGAGACCTCTGAGACCAGTGGCATTTAAACTGAAGGACTGGAAAGGGAAACTATTTTTCATTATCACTTTCTGGCCCCATTCTTATGTGGGGGCTACATAAAATAGCTACATAAAAATCTAGTTTTTTATATACATTCATTGGGAAAATGAGGATTTTTTTTTTTTTAAAATTAACAAATCTGAATGATAATACTATTCAAAAGGCATCTGCTGTGCTTGCTGTAATGATATTCATTCCAAGTTTTTTGTCCCAAAGTAATGTCTCTGAATTTTAAAAATATTTTAGAATGCTTACACAAAATTAGAATGAGAAAAAAAAATCCTAGTATTTTCATGGCTTTGAATTTATTTTTTGCATATGTAATCTAAAATCAGATAACTGTAGGCAGTCCACACGATTTGATAGTTCATTTATAGGAAAAGTAGGAAGGAGTCATTTGGGAGTCATCCTGATCTACAGAGCTGTGTTTCCCTCTGCTCCCACCAAACAAACCAGAGGAACCTGTGAGTTTGTTGAACATTCTTGTGGACTGTCAGCTATTGTGTGTTTAAAAAACCCCACAGAACAAACCTTTAAACCAGCATTATATAGTGTATTAAAATATAGTCCTGTAATTTATCCTCTTATATGAGCCAGATGATGCTCCAGCTGAAGTTTCTTGATGGCTGCTATAATTTAGGAAACATCAAAACCAAGCTGTAGCTAGTCAGGACATAATGTAACGTGACTCACTGTGATCCAGTTCTTACAGACTAAAGATATGTGAGTGACCTATCTCTCGGTAGTTGTTTCTCTATTTTGTTTTCACTTCCATTCCTAGTAACTTCTCATACTGTTTGCTTTTTTGACCCTTGTTAGACAGAGGTGGTATCTCTCTGTAGAACTCTCTTATAGCCCCCAAATTTTGCTCCCAAGCATGAAAAGTCAGTTGAGATCTTGTGAAGATGGTGATTCTGGAATTCTTTTTGCCCCCTATGTGTACCATGCTATGTAGGCTAAGTTTTCTTTCTGATTTTGATCACGCAATCACAGCCCCTTTGTAGTTCTTCGTTACCTTATTATACCCTCATCCAGTTATTTGTGGTGTGATCCGGTTAGTTGTGATTTGTGATCCAGGCTGGATGGGGCTTTGAGTAACCTGGTCTAGTGGAAGGTGTCCCTGCCCATGGCAGGGGGGTGGAACTAGGTGATCTTTAAGGTCCCTTCCAACCCAAACTTTTCTGTGATTTTATGACTTCTTTTGTACTTTTAAAGTACAAGAGGACCTACTAGAGACTTGTGCAGGACATCACTGCTGCCCTTTACCTGTTAAAATCTGGCTCTTCATTTCTACTCCCTGCTGTCTTTTACCCAGTTATACATTTATTTAAAGATAATTGCACTGTCTGTGAGATTGAATCTACACCATTAACCTTTTTGTTGTTGTTTAAACAATTTATTAAATAATAGTAACTTTAAGTCCTGAAGAAGCAGAAAAACTTTAGGAAAGAAGAGAAGCCTCATCTTCATTTTACAGGCTAAAGTAAACTTTCACATACTGTATGCCAAAAGCCTTTAGTTTGTTGGTTTTTTAAAGAATAATGCTTTTTTTTTGGTTTTTTTTTTTGTTTGTTTGTTTGTTTTGTTTTTGTTTCAATTTCTTATTTAGGCAATAGGTGAGCGGCAATTTCTTTTGAATGTAACCACAAGAGGTCACTAAGTCACAAAAATAAAATGCAAGTATGCTGCTGTTTCACAGACTAGACAAACATGGAACTGTGAAACCGTGTACTGCCTTTATTCTGATGTATTCTAATATGTAGGTCATATTAGAAAAAATCATAATAAATAAATATTTATGCCTGTGAATTCACTTGCAGTTGATCTATTTCCAATTAAGTATATTTTTAGAAGAATACTGCATTGATTAGAAAAAAATGTGGCTGCTCTTAGAATACAATAGGAAAATTTAACTCTTATATAATTGAAAATTAAGACATTTTATGTGTAATTTTGTCCTAGTTTGGCTGGGACAGAATCACAGCCCAGCCATGCTGGGCAGGCCTTCAGCAGTTTCAAGCCAGGCAGGGCAGCTGACCAGAGTTAGCTACAGGTGTAGCCCACACTGGAATGTCACGGTCATTATAGAGGGGGAAGGTTGGCTGAGGAGAGAGAGAGCGAGTGTGTGCTCCTGTGGGGTTTCTGGTGAGATTCCTCCTGTTCCTCCTTTGGTTTCTCTTGAGGACTGCTCTCCTTTTGATTGTGAACACTGGATGTTCATTTGGCTGAGTATAACTCTGTGCATCCCTGTTGGTATTGGTGGTATTTTATTAAATCTGTTGCACTTCTACCCATGGATCTTCTCTCCTTTTTCATGATTCCCCTGCCCATCTGGTGAGGAGTTGTTGGGTCTTAAAGTGACTGTTATAGTTTAGACCTGGGTACAGGCTAAAACCTAAACAAATTTCTTCTATTTGGTGGTTGCAATAAAAGTCATGGCTAGGTCAGGGTTTTTTCTGATTTAGTAATGTATTTTTTTTTTCCATGGAATTGTCCTTTACAACATCATTTCTTCTTTATTCCTAGTTATCTTAGGAAAACATCTAAACTTTAAAGTTTTATCTTTGTATTTAGGTTTTGAAACTGGTTCTTAAGGAACGAGACTATATGAAAAAAAAATTCTTTCTTGCCAGGATTCTTGGAAAGAAAAATTCTTCCCAAATTAGGGAGGCTTTCTTCTCTGTATATCTAATTTGTTTTATTTATTAAAAGAAGCTACTGTTCTTTCCTCTCTGAATAGTTTAGGCCTTCTGCCATCTAGGACACAGCCACTGTGATGTGAAATTTCAGACTCAGTCTGATAACTCCTGTTTCTAGGTCTATCCATGTCTGCCCATTTTGTAAGGAGATCCAAATAAAAATGGTTTCATTTGGCCATATATTTTCAACCCCTTTACTTTTAATGTTGTTTTATTGTAAAACAACTTGAGTCTGTTCGCACATGACCATGATTTTATTTGTTTGTTTCCTCCAAGGGCACTTTCTGTGTTTTGCCCTGATACCTCTGTATGAAAAGGAAAAAAAAAAACAACCAAACACCAAAACAACACAAAATCCCCACCCAATTTTTAAAAAAAAAAAAATCTGTAGGCAGGAGCTGGAAGCTGTAGCAGTGTGTGCATGAGTATTTAAAAATGTGTACGCACACAGGTACCCACTGTTTTGTCAAATAATTAAAACCTTAAAATTATTTTTCTGGCATAATCAGGATTATCACTTAATACTTTGGTTAGAGGAGATTCTATTTAAATTTTTCAAGCAGCTTTTGGCAAACTTTCGACCTTCATGATATATTTCTTTGATTTATTTTCAACAACCTGGTCCACTGAATATAGCTTACATACTTGCTTGGGGCACGTGACAGGAAGACAAACAAATAAAAGATCCAGGTAAATTAGCCTCTGCTGGCAGAAATTCATGGTGTGTTTGAGAACAGTTCTTCTGAGTTAATAAACAGGAAATGTAAATATAATTAAA